TCCATTTATAATTAGTTAGGTTGGCAAATTTGATCTAATATTTGATGTACTTCATTTGGTTAACTCGTATCCATCAAGGGAGTAATGAAAATAAGTCAGCTAGCCCAAATCCTTCATTTTGAATGAATGATTGAGAGGATCTTTTAAGTGTTATATATTGTCATGGTCATCTCTTGTAATAAGGATATCATCAACATATAAGAGAAAAATTATTATCCATGATGAACAATGGTGGGTAAATAACGAATAGTCATGAGTACTTTTTGTGAACCTTGCATCCAAAATGACATGTCAATATCGTTCAAACCATGCTCTTGGAGCTTGTTTAAACTATAGAAGGATTTCTTGAAATCACAAGCCATAGACTTGTTATGACAATACTTGAGAGGAAGTCACATATATACTGTATTTTTCAAATGTCCAGGAAGAAATACATTCTTCACATTCATCTGAGAGATAATTCATTGACGAATAGCTGAGATGGCAATTGTTGTATGTATTGTAGTCACATAACAACTCAAGTAAATGTTTTGTTATAGTTTATGCCATATTCCTGCTTGTAACCTTGAGCAACAAGTTGTACTTTACATCACTCAATCCCTCAATCAAATTTAAGCTTCACATTAAAGACCCATTTACTTCTAATAATAGATGTATTAGAAGGATAAGATAAAAGATCCAAGCTGTTATTTTTCAACAAAGCACTCATCTCTACATCCATGCCCTCCTTCCAACATGGCATAGTAGAGGCTTGCTGGAAAGTGGAAGGAATATCAACTGAATCTAAGGGGAAAACAATAGTCTATGAAGTAAACAAAGGTCTAGGTGGGTAGAAAGAATATCAACAATATCAAGAGATGTAAACAGATATCTAAGATGTAGTGAAAAATCAAAATCATCAAAGGAAAAACCATATCGAGTAGGTAAGTGAGCTACATATGAGGAATGTCGTAACTGAGTAGATTTATCAGAAGAAACAAGGTTAGGAGAAAAAGAAGAGGGAAGAGAACCATTTACAGTTAGCGTAGAAGCCTGACATCTCTCTAGTAGGTGAGCTTAATAAGGCGCGGATGAGTTTTGTTTGCCTTGTTGTTGATGAACCAAAGTTGTGGTGATTTATCAGTGGAACTGGTATATGAGAAATTTGAAAAGAAATGAGCAGATAACCATGTTTCAGCAATTGAAGAATAATAAAAGAGGCTTTTTAGAACGACGACATTGCAAGAAACATGTATACAATGAGCTGTTGGACCATAAGGACAATAACCCAAAAAAACATAAGTGGCTGCTTAAACAGAAAAATTTCGTTCTTTTATGTGCTGAAAGATGAACAAAATAAATACATCCAAAATTTTGTAAAAGAGAATAATTAGGATGAACATGAAATAATGAATAATATGAAGATTCTTTATGTAAAACTAAGGATGGGAGACCGTTTATGAGATAAACAACTATTGTAGCTTCAATCCAAAAAATATGAGGAATACGGGCGTAATAAATAATGGTCTCAATAACTTTTAGGATACGACTGGTTTTTTTCTCAACTATGATGGGTTTTTAAATATTATTGAAAATCATTTGATAGGTATTCTCCTCTAGAGTCTAACGGTTAAGTTTTTTTTTTTTTTCTTTTTTTGTACCAAACTAGGTTGGCACTACAGATAAAAAAGTTTGAAAGGGGAGACCACTTAGATTTATGACCTATAAAGTATATCCAGGTTTAGCGTCTACAATCATCAATGAACAAAACAAAATACTTGTATCCCATTCTAGATAAAATTAGAGCAGAACCCCATGCGTAACTATGAATAAGATGAAAATGTGTAGTCGCTTTATCTACGCGAGTGGGAAAAGTCAAACTAGTGCTTTTGTTCGAAGAACAACTAATACAAGATTTATAGATAGCATTTAAAACAAGCACTTTGTATTTGGATGACCAAGTCTCCGATGCCACATATATTATTGTTTATAAGAAACATAAAAGTCAGAATTTGAAGGAGAAAAGAAAGAAGCATCATGGCTTGGTTTATCAAATTCCAAGGTGAACAAACGAACAATTATACGCTACTTCCCTTTCACTGTCCCAGTGCGTAAGCCCTGTGTCACATAACCGTAACAAGAAAATTGAATATTGTAACCATCATCAACTAGTTGGGGGGTAGTGATTGGATTAATAATTAATTTAGGAACCAAGAGAACATTAGGAAGTGAAAAGGTGCACTAGGGGAGACACAGAGTGAGAGATTATCAGTACCAGCAATATTAGATTTATTTCCATTAGTTGTGATAATCTGCCCATTACCTTGGTATGATTTAGGAGATGATGAACTTGTGTGCACTCCAGTCATATAATTAGAGGCACCCGAGTCAATAAACCAAATGGCATTCACAATAGGGGATATATAAGAGTCCATTCTAGATGAACCCATAACAGATAAAGCAGAATAGATAGTCGTAGACCCCAAGTTTTCTACCAATTGTTGAATATCAGCTGGCATAACTGTTGTCTGGGACCCTGTCGTATTTGGGGTATGGATAGTAATTGTTGGAGGGATTTCTTATCTCGTATATACCATTAGTTTCTCTGTAAGAACGTTTCCTTATATTTGATGCCTAGCTGCCTCGCAGAGGACGATCTTGACACTCTATAATAATATGCCCAGGATGTTTACAACAATTAAAAAAAATATATTCTTGGATTCTCGAGGGTATGTTCTCTCTTGTTTTCTTCTTTTTTGTTATGAACTTCCTTTTTTTTTGGATTTTCAAAGTCCAAAAATGATTTGGAATTTTTGGATCTTCAAAATCCCAAAATATGGATATTCAAAACCTAAAAGGTCGTTTGCCCCATTTGTTCGTAATTTTTATTTGCTTGAAGCATTTTCAGATATTCAAAATCCAAAGTTTAAAAAATAAAGCAATTCTATTGGAATTCTTTTTTTATAGTATTTTCCTATTTTAACTCCACCATTGCCAGTCCCAAGCCCATAGAAAAGAGCTGTGTTAGGTGGGAAGCCAGCGTAAAACTTTGCTACATCTTTTTTATGAATCTTAAACCAACGTTATATGCTCATGTTAGAGTGTTTGGTCTGATTGAGAGAATGGCACATGACTTAACGGAATGGCTGGGCTGAACATGGTTCGTGTAGTTGAACCCAAATAGTTTTGATAAGGCTTGGATGATGAATCTTTCCAGAATTTTTTTCAAGATCATAAATTTTTTAAGTTCAAAATTTCAAAATTCCAAAGATTCTATTAATCGTTTTGAATTTAGAAAATTTGAAAATTTTAATTATCAGATTTAGAAAATTTGATTTTCTTAATATTTTGTTTTTTAATTTTGAAAATCCAAAAAGGCTCATATAAAAATTACAAAAAAAATCATTAAATTTTAAAAATGATTATTTTCAGAAATCGGAATCATGGGTTTTTAGCTCCATTTAGAAAAATTACGAATAAAGTGGGTACAAATGTAATAACAAAAAATATTTAGATAAGTAACGTGAAATAAAAAAGAATACAGCCACTGTAGTTTTCTCGTAGTTAGTATGCCCCCAGCAAACTATAACTCGAAAGCAGTAGTATTATGTTAAAAAACCAACAAGCAATGGCTAGATCAAAAGCCATGGCGTTAGCACATCTGTTTTCTCTTCGCGCATAATTTTCTTCACAGCTAGTTAAGCACTTAAAAGATTGACCAAACAAAACGTAGAATTTGACATGTATGCCTTCTTGGATCTTCGAATTGAGAGAGATCAAGAATTCTCACTATTTCTTATAATATTATAAGTTTATTCCTCTTGACTGAATCCATATTAGCATACTCATTTTCAGTGGTTTCCTTTATCAAACTAGATTAACATACTCATTTTTGGTGGTTTCCTTTATAAAACTAGAGGCAATTAAAAAAAAGGGAAAATATCTCTATACTTTATATTTTTAAGTTTCATTTCACAATAGACCCAAGGTTTTAAAAGATATATTGGGGCATAAAAATTGTAGATTTTATTTCTTCTAACTTCCTGAGCTAATTTAAACATGTTTTTTTAGGTCAAATAAATAAAAAAGACAATCCTTTTCTAAAACTATCATAGGTCAAATAAATAAAAAAGACAGTCCTTTTCTAAAACTATCATCCCTTTCTAAACCTCTCTCCACATATGCCAAACCCACATTTTCTCTCTCCATATCTGCCAAACCCATCTCTCTATTTCCCCCAATTTCTCTCCTCATGTCTCACTCTCTCTTCCCGTGATCCCCCAACTCTTTCTCTCTCCTCGTGATGGACAAATTGCATAACCCAATTTGACTCCCAACCTATATAAAAGCTTCAATTTGACTGCCAACCCATTTAAAAGCTACAATTTGGCTGCAAACCCATCTAAAAGCACAGAGGATGTGTTGTGGGAAACTTTGAAAGAGAATGTGTTTTGAGAACCATATCTATATTGGTTCTTGAAAATATTTACTGACGTCATTGAAGCTTTGTGCTCCATATAATTTTAAATGCTTATATTGTAGATAAAGAGTTGGGTGTGAAGAGAGAGTAGGAGACAAGGGGAGAGAAAAAGAATGGAAAATACGTAAAGAAAAAAAAGACAAGGAGAGAAAAAATAGAGAGAAATATAAGGGGAGAGAGAGGGGGGTTTGAGAGATGGGGAGAGAGAGATGGAGAAGAAGGCATGGGAAGAGAGAGAGAGAGAGTAAGAGACATGGGAGAGAAAAAGAATAGGGAATATGAAAAAAGAGAGAGGACTGAGAAAGAAAAAATAGTGGAATAGGAGAAAAGAGAGAAACAGTGGAATAGGGAAAAAGAGAGGATTGGGAGAGAAAAAATAGTGAAATAGAGAGACAGAGAAAGGGGTTTGAGAGATGGGGAGAGAGAAGGGTTTAGAAAAAAGATACATTTTCAAGTTTGACTAGGAGAGAGAATGAGAGACTCAGGGAAAAAAAGAAGTTCGAGAGTATATAAGTGAAAATAGAGAAATGATTGAGTTTAAAAAAAGTATGTCTTTTTCATATTTATTTAGATTAAAACATAGATTTAAAGTGGCCAAGGGTTAAAATAGAAGGCATGGAGATATTATCCTTTTAAAATAGAAGACAAGGCGATATTATCCTTTTAAAAAAAAGTGGGCTAAGGCACTAGTCTTGAACAACTCGGGGTTGGGCTTGTTCTCTACCGTGGATTGGGATCGCTCGGTCGCTTGCTAGGTCAGATTGGAGCATGAGGACACGTTACCCATCCTCGCTCCAAGAATGGCGAAAGCCAATACCCAATCCGCGACTCCTTTGCAGGCTCCATAACAAGAAATACACGGAAATCAGAAAGAAAGAAATCGGTTGAACGTTCATCCGGCTTTTTGAATGACTCGATTCGTTGATGGACGTTGATTAACTCAAATGTTCACCAAGATATTCATATGGCAGAGTCTAAATAACAAACAAACGATAGAGCGAGAGAGTGATGCACACACCAAAAGCGAACAGAGAAGGTAAACTCACCCATGCGCGTTGGCCTGTGCGCACCCGGACTAACACGCGCCTGCATCGCCCTGATCCGAGCTCAGCTTGTCAAAGGCCAACCCGAACACGCTCTCCTCTGTTACGCACGCGCTCGAGCCCATGGCCATACTCCGTCCCCTCCCACCCTTGCGCTAGCCCTCAAGGCATCACGCCTCACTGGCCACCGATCGGTTGGTGCAGAGGCCCACGCCACATCTATCAAGCTCGGTCTCTCTTTTCGACCCTCAATTTTTGGTTCACTCATTGCTATGTATGCGTGTTCCTTTGGCCTTGATGATGCACGAAAATTGTTCGATGAAATGATCCAGAGGAAAGACGAGGAGATTCACAAACCTCACTATTCTGTAGAGAGACAAACACAGGAATTGTTGCATCAAATGACAGAGATAGACACCCGCGAATTGTTAGAGGATGAGAGAGGAAACCATGGTTTGTTAGAGGAAGTCGGTGGCATCCATGGCAGCAAACTGTTCGACGGAGTAAACGACAAAGAAGCTGCTGAGGTGGTTGGGGGCAATGCCATGATTGCTGGTTATGCGCGTGCCGGTTGCATATCAGAAGCCATGCACGTGTTTGAGGCAATGCCTATACGTGACACCATATCATATAACTCAATTATCTCGGCTTGCAATAGGGCAGGCAACCCACAATTGGGCATCTCTCTATTTCGACAAATGCAAGCTGTAGGCCTTAAGCCTGATTGTTACTCCATTGCAATCTCTCTTTCTTCATGTGCAAATCTTGGTGCATTAAACTTGGGCATTTATGTGCACAATTGTGCCAATGCCAATGCAGTGCCACTAAACCACATTGTGGGGGCGGCCCTAATCGATATGTATGCGAAATGTGGAAGCATAGATATGTCTTTGACAGTATTTTCGCAGGCCCCACGAGCCCATGTATCTGCTTGGAATGCAATTATTGGTGGCCTTGCAGCATATGGTCGGGCCCATGAGGCTCTCAACCTCTTCACAGAGATGCAAAGGGAAGGGGTTGAACCCGACACTATAACTTTTACCAACATACTGACAGCATGTAGCCATTGTGGTTTGGTAGATGAAGGTCTGTGTTACTTTGATCGCATGTCAAAAGAATTCGGCTTAACTCCTGAAATTCAGCATTATGGCTCAATAATTGACATGTTGGGTCGGTCTGGTCTTTTGAAAGAAGCCCAAAACTTCATAGAATCCATGCCTTTGAAGCCAGACTTGGTTTTGTGGCGAGCTCTCCTTAGTGCTTGTCGTAACCATGGGGAGGTGGACTTTGGTGAAGGAGCCATTGATCAGATTTTGAATTTCAGGTCAAAAGATAGCGGAGATTATGTTCTCATATCAAAATTGTACTCTAGTTTGAGAATGTGGGATAAAGTAGAAAAAGTATGGAAGGTGATGAAGAAGAAAGGGATCAAGAAGAATCCAGGATTGAGTTGTATCGAGATTAATGGTGAGGTTCATGAATTTTTATCTGGAGATCGATTACACCCATTTTCCGACAAGATTTATAGAGTTTTAGATGAAGTGATGAAGAGGTTGAAGGCTAATGGATTTGAGCATGAGACAGGTGTTTCCATGATTGATGTGTTGGAGGAAGAGAAGGAAGAGATGTTGGGTTATCATAGTGAGAAGTTGGCTGTGGCTTTTGGGCTCCTGACTACAAGCCCGAGGAGCTTGATAAGGGTGGTGAAGAACCTGAGAATTTGCCATGACTGTCATTCTGCAATAAAGATGGTGTCTAGGATTTTTTGTAGGGAGATTGTGGTGAGGGATCGGTTGAGGTTCCACTGTTTCAATGCAGGATATTGTTCATGTAACGATCATTGGTAAATCCCCTGGCCTTATATTTAGTTTAGGAAAATAAAATTAAACCCAGCTTGATACCAATATATGTTTTATTCAACATACAGTTTGCGTGCCAACAAAAGCTTTCAAATTTTGAGTTGGATGAAAACTGGTACTGTCAGTTTTCATCTCATTCACAAAGTAGTGGCATTTCCATATTTCATCTCGCACCCATTTGGCTTACTAAATAACATCTAAAGGTACAGTTTCAACCATGAATGCCCTGCGACCCAAATGCTGTTACAACCGTGCCAGTCCATTATTGGGTTGCCATGCAAAAGTGACCTGGAAAAATACATACTAATTTGAATTAAACGTATGTCTAAATCGACACCTATACTTGGAATGCTACAAATTTCTACAAGATTAGCTGTATAATCATCTCCATTTTTTTTTTGATAAGAATGTATAATCATCTCCATTAATCCATTAATACTACAATTGTGTATCAGTGCTAATTCTTGCAGCCATAGAGCCTTTTTTCATAATATGTTCTAACTTGTAAGAGAGGTTCACTTTCATTGGTATATAGAAAAGTGTATTAATGTGTTTCTCCTCAGCTGAACATCTGTTTACATAGAAAACTATTGGAATCTTGAATGAGACATAGGATTGCGTTATAGAAGTCATGTCACTAGGGTATTGACGTAAAAATATGTTTAGAGAAATGTGAGTAATAAGGTAGAGGAGTGATAAAGGAACATACTGTGCTTTACATGATGAAAGAGAAAAACAAGAAGGGCAAGGGAGAGGAGGGAAGTCAGAGTGGGGGCATGCTTACAACAGGGCTACAAATAACAGAATGTGTGAGACTTATGTAATAGATGTCTGATTCTTTTCTTAAGGGAAAGCAAGGGAAAAAGAAAAACATTACAAGAAGGATTTTGTTTTAAGTTGTAATTGATCTTGCTCCTGATCTTCCAGTGAGTTCAGGTTCTTCTTGGACTTTTTGGACCCGACCTAGCTTGGAGTATAGAGCAACAATTAGCAGAGAATAAAAGCTTGCATCTACGTTGATGCAGATGCAGAAGAATTTCAAGCAAATCTCTTATCCATGTAATTGCAGAGGTCCAGAGAAATTTGTAATCAGACTGCTTTCATTTTATTCAAAATTTTGCTAAGAAAAGAATGAAGGCTTGCTTTTATATTTGGTGGAAATCTGACGACAAGTTTTAAGTAGAGATTACTTTCACTTAGAAATTTGCAGAGCATCGCTTTTTCCTATAGAAATGGTGCATGGCGATACATGCGTATTTGTGTAGACCAATAAATATTCCTAATTCTACTATATGAACACATTAGGTTGATAATATAGCCATAGATGGTGCATTCCCCTTAAAGTTGAGCTTGTGAATATTTTCAATAGAATTTTTTGATACGAAATATAAAAATGATTTTACTTTTTTTAGTTACAAAAGCTGTATCAATAACTTGTTTTACTAGTTGCTCAGAGAGCATGACAGAGAAGACTTTTTAATTTTGAAATGCTTTCTTGTTACCTACGTGGGAAAATGATCTAGAGGCCATAGGGAAACCATTTTCCAAAAATCATTTTCAAGGTGTGAACATTTTCCCTTTAAGCAAATCTGTACCAGAATCAATTGAACTGTTAACCTAATGCAGCCTTGCCCCAAAGGAGTTAATTGAACATATAACCTGATGACCTGAAGTGGCCTCTCTCCCTTTGGCATCAGTTGGGAGTTTCTCACTCTTTATGATAATAATAATAATGTTTCATACTCCATTCGACCTGCTCATGTAATGTAGCCAATATTTTTAAGTTTGCTTCTGGAAATACCCTGTTGCAATATAATTTTCATTAGTTTATGTAATTTTCAAGCTCACACTGATGAATCTAACAAATCTCCTGGAAAAAAAACATCCCGTTTAAGTCGAACCACTGATCTAACACGAGCTGATCATCCTACCATAGCCACAGGTTCCAATTCTGAACATGCAAATCTCTCCTAAAAGAAGAAAATGAAGAAACAAAGGAAAGGCCCAAGTTTACAGCCCCAAGCTGGTTGCAAATACACTAGATCAAGTCAGCACATGTGTAATCTGAACACACAGTTCTCTCTGTGAGAGAGAGAGAGAGAGAGAGTCAGATGCAGGCGAAGAGAAGAGGCACTGGAGATTGAAAGTCACGACATAAAAGGGTACACGGGTTGCAAATAGATACAGAAGCAATGGCGTGATCCAACATCAGCAGCACATAATATTCATTCGGCAGCTAAGTGACTACAGGCGCAATGAAGTAACAATGGATGCATCCTAGTTTTCAGGCAATCGAAAGAGGTAGCACCATCTTAGCTTTCCGGAAGTGGAGTGAGGTAGCAGGAAAAGAGATAAAAGACGAGAAAAGGAATATTCAGAATATGGAAACAGGTAGCAGTGCTACGAGAGCGAGGTAGAGGTTTCATACTTGGAGAAATGGTGGAAGTGAGAAGAGGTTGAGGTGACAATTTCAGATTATGGGGTATTCATCTTTGAAATTTTCGGACAACAGTGAGATTCTGCAACATCGCTTTCAAGTAGTGATACCACAAAGGCGGCAAATAATGGGGGCTCAACAATTGGCAATAGAGTGGTGGTGGAGGTGGCTATGGGCAGTAGTAGCAGCACCAACATGAGCCTCGCCATCAGTGTTCGTAACAGAGTGGCGGTCAGCATGGCAGAGCTGGCGGAGTTTCGTGGGGACATACCAAATTGCAAGGCTGGGGTGAGATGCAAAGAGGGCATCGACATCCCATGCATGATGGTGGCGGGACATGGCCACCAAGGGATGGTAGCAGGCCTGCCGCCAGGCCCCAACATTCTCACCACGCTCCTTGAAGGCTCGGCGTAGGGCATTGGAGGCTTCCTCATCGAGGCAGTGGAGAGCATAGCAGTGCACATAGTGACGCATCTTTGGCTTGTTTATGTGGCTTGCGCCCGCTCGCTTCGCGTGCCGGAACACCTGGTTTGTAACCTGCATAGAAAGGAGCACATACTAGCACCTTCAGATCCCATTCAACAAGTATTTCCACGTTTTTTTTGTGTGGGTAAATCAGTGGGGGATTTGGGTCCCCACACGCTTTCATTAATAAAAAAAGAAATAAATAATAAATAGATTATGTAAGATTCTCTCATAAATTCATCCGGATCCGAATCAGAATTCGAATCCGAATGATGCTTCTTTCACATAACCCAAAGTCCTAAGCTTATCAGATAAATTTCCATTTAAACGTTGCCAGTAAAAGCATCACACGGCGTTTTGACGATTATATGTCATTGGAAATGATTCAATTGCAAAGAGGGACAAATTTCGTTCTTTTGACAAAAAAATCCCAAATGAATCTATCAAGTCAATGGTTTGGATACTCAGATACTCAGCTAATATAGGAGCAATTAAGGTAAGGGGGTGATTTCTATAAGGCTGCAACCTTAAACAATCCAATTAAGACGCACCTTCAACTTTTATCATAACATGTAATTTTCGTGTAAAAAATTCTTAAGATTATCTCAAAATCTATTTTCGTATCTAATTATAAAATTTTAAGCGTCAAAAAATCAAGTAGATCTATAAACATATGAAAATCTTGAAAATGGACAGTCCAGAGAATGTGTTGCAAGATGCACTATTTTTGGGACTCAAAATCGTTTAATTTTTTTCATATTCATACAACTCGATGTCGAGATGATCAATTAGAGGGTTTTTCAACATAGAACAACTTTTTCCGTTGGATTTTTAAGGTGCTTCTTTAATTCTACATTTTAAGATTGCAATCTTATATAAACTTTTTCCTTAAAACAATATCTATAGGAGCAATTAAGATAAGAGTAATGATCCTATGGGATCCTTCCCCATCCATGTGTGTAGGAACCCAAAGGATCAGTATTAAAGTTGACACGGATATCTAAAAAAGCTATCACATGAGTGTGAGACTTGACTTTTCCATAGATCTGTATCAAATTTAATGATGATCTTTTGGAGTCTTATGCAGATAGGTGGAGAAGGGTCCTATAGGATCATTACTCTTAAGATAATACACAAATATAAGGCTTTAAAACAAAGGTGCAATTGGCATACGGATGCATCCATAGCTGTAAATGTAAGGTGCACCTTCAAATTTTATCATGGTATATAATTTTGATGTAAAATGTTCTTAGGGTTATCTCAAAATCTATCTTTATATCTAATTATAAAATTTTAAAATGGTTAAAATCAAGTAGATCTATAAACATATGAAAATCTTGAAAATAATCAATGTAGATAATATGTTATAAAATACACTATTTCTGAGACTTAAAATCTTTTTATTTTTTATGGTTATACATCTCGATGTCAAGAAGATTAATCAAAAGGTTTTTTAACATTAAAACTAACTTTTTCGATGGATTTTTGAGGTGCATCCATAGTTCTACATTATAAGAATGCATCCTTATATAAACTTTTTCCTTAAAACAATATCTAATCCTATTTTGTTTTTGGCCTATTGAATCCATGCAGCCAACATTTGAAATAGTTTGCAACCTTTTAGTTTTGCAAATTGATATGGTTGAAGAGCGCTATAGCATGCTCCCGTCTAATATGAAAGTTTGATATCTACCTAAGAATCATTAGATGATTGTTTTCGAGGAAAAGGAAGTTGGATTTTGAGTTTTTAAACACGATTTTGAGTTTGTAAACACTTAGATCGGCACATATAGTCCAATCTTGTGACATAGAGAGTTGCGTTAAACAGTGGTTATTAGGATCAAACCAGTCACCAAACTGGCGAGAGATCTAGTCCAATCAAAATGGGTTCGACCACCAGTCGAATCAATTTGATCCGATTTTGAAAAATCTCAAGAAAAATATGAATATAACAATTTTAAAGTAAGCAATATATTATAAAATAACCTACTTTATTTGGTTGGTCAAACCTTCTTATAGATTAGATTAGCCAAAATCAGTCAAACATTGATTTTACCGGTTTTAAACGAAACTTGGTTTTTACTAGTTTTATCAGAATTGGACTAGCCACTTTGGTCAAACTACTTTGACCGGATTCAAAACTACTAATAAAAATATGAAGAATAGTCATAATATGTAATACAATAGAAAAAAGTTGCCCTTGCCCAATCAAACCGAGAAAAATAGGTCATTCTTACCAACCAAAATCGGTCAAATACTATTTTCACTGGTTTTTAATGAAACCAAAATTTTGATTAGAATTAGACCAACCAAAAGGCTGGTCGACAGCCTAATTCGTTAGATTGTTGTTGTGGTTCGATTTTGATAACTATGGTTTCTACTCTGGACTAGACCGACCAAAGCATTGGTTAGCGGTCAAATCTGTCGAATCGCTATTCAGTGCAGCCTTGATAACTTTGGTGTTAAAGTTTTTTTTTTAAATCTTTTATGAGGTTTGGTCGCTAGGTTTAAGAGGTTACATTACCAAAATTAGGGATCCTACACAAATTTTTAAGTTGGATTTCACTTGAGAGACGAAGGGAGGAAACACACAACCGTCTTACATGCTTAAAATTATGGGATTGTATAAGTAAAACTGTTCACTTTCGGTTCAAATTAGTTAAAATCACCCTTAGTCAAGGATGAGAAATCTAATAATTACTGGTGTGTCACAATGTTTAGAAATTGATTTTATATTTTGTACTAGATTAATAGTACACTTCCCAGCATCCGATTTCACGTGTAATGGTTAATAGCGATTATGACATGGTATACCAAAAGTAAATAACCTTATCGTTCCTATCTCAAATAAGGCATCTAACATTTTTTTTTACAAAAACAAGGCATCTAATATTACAACTATCACATTCTAATAAGGCACCGAGGGCATGATTTGTTTCATGGTTTTGGTAATGTCGCATGACTCTTTCATGGTTTTGGTCTCATGTAACTAATATTTCTCTGAAAACAATCAGAGAGGCTTTTAATAAGGTTACATCAACATATTTTGAATATAAGAGCACATAGCATATCTATTATGTCTATGAATTACTCGAACCAGTGTCACTCCCTGAAGATAAAATGATTAAAGCTAATACGAGACTCAGATGGGAAGGCCGACTTCATTGGGGGAAAGGGGACAAATGTGGGTCCTTTACCTCCTTGAGGACAAAGTAACTAGGTGTGAGGCAGACCCACTGGGGCTAATAAGTTGCAGTACGAGTATGACTCTCCTACTGGGGGTGAGAAGTCATGACCTGAGTTTGAACGACCTAGGTTCCGCTTTACTAGGGATAATAGGTCACAGTCAAGGTGCAACTTCGCTAGGGATAACAGAATAGGACACACACGGCTTCGGTCTGGAGTATGCGACAACAAAATATTTCAAACACTGCCAGTGGCAGGTGCAGCGACCATCATTCCTTGAGCATTAAGCTGACGCTGGGTTTGTTAAAAACACAGCTAGTGCTAAGAACGACCACAGCCGGCGCTGAGTCGTTGAGAATGCAGGCGGCGCTGCGGTTATTTAGGACACAGACGACGCTGGGGTTACGGAAGTCAGAGCCAACGCCGGGGTTACTGAGGACGTAGCCGACGCTGGGGTTACTGAGGACGCAGCCAGCACTGAAGTCACCAACAACATAGACGGCGCTGAGTCTTTGAGCACACAATCGGCGTTGAAATCACCAACAATACAGGCGATGCTGAAGTCTTTTTCGATGACATAGTCGGCTCTGGGTGTGGGTTAGTGTTTGGGCTTTGACCCAAGCCCGACCCGATCTTGGCTTCTGTCGGAATGGGATTTTACCAGAGGCAATGAGACTTGCCTCAGGCCTCGGGTCAAAGCCCGACTTGGTCCGGCCCATTGACGTTTGGTCTTCATGGATGTGGCTGGGATTACCAATTTGCGAGGGGCTTTTACGAAAAACGTTGGTTATATAAGGGGGTAAAACCCCATTTCCACTGCTTTTCACCGAAGGTAAAAAAAACTTTAAAGTAAAAAGTTTAAACAGTGAGAAGGGGATTTATCCGATGAGGGCTTCGTTGAGCACACAGGAGATTCCGACAAAGTTGGCTGGAGTTTGCCAACACGCAGGGAGGAGGTTTCAATTGTGAGAAGAGGGCACTGACAGGGAGCATAGGGCCTTTCGCAAGGAAGGGTACTTTAACGCCAAAGTAGAGGGAAAATAAGGGTTTTGCTGGGGTCTTCCAAATTCTGCCAGTGAACTTTCGAGAATTCCAAGGATAAGGAAAAGGGTGGGAGGTTGCAGCAGAGTGTTGCCCGAGCTTTTCCGCTACTTCTTGGCGGTTTTCTGACAGGTGCACGTGGTTTTCCCGATAACTTGGGGGAAGTTGCAGAGGCTGTCTGGCAGCAGTGGAGGAGTTCCGATGAAAAACCGAGGGTCAAGGTAACGGATCGTCGCTGAAGCAGGAAGGTTGTAGGGAAGGCGAACAGTTGCAAGAAGACGAACGGTTTACCTCAAAAATTGTGCAGTCCTCAACGAGGCGAAGCGTCCTAAGCCCTGATAACGAGGGGTAAGCTCGGGTGGTCGGACACTTACCGATGAGAGGTTTTTCCAACACTGGTGCATTTGAGAGATTATCGTGCGCCATAGATCTTGAGGCCAAAGGGAGGAGGCAGTTCCTGAACTTGCCAATGTTGATGTGGTAGTTCAGGAGGGTGAGGAGCAAGGGGAACGGGCTTCCTCGAAACTTGCTGGGACAGAAGCATGCCTTCTGCTTACAAAATCCTCTTGTTCAGAATCGCAATCAGTCCATACGAGGGTGAGGGCTTCGATAAGATCCCTAAAAAGGTCTCTTCTCCCACTAAAGTCTCCATTGACGGACCTGCGAACCATGCATCCTTACGTCTGAGCATCCTGGTTGCACTATTGCGTGAATCTCCTCAGCATGCCTTCTAGGACGTGGCTGGGATTCCCAGTTTGCGAGAGGCATTTGGGAATAGTGTTGGCTATATAAAGGGGGTAAAACCCCATTTCCACGTGTTTCACCGAAGGTAAAAAAAAAAAACT